TCTTGACAGTGTCCTACATAACTCTTAGGTTTTCTTTTCTTCATTCTTTTTTCTGAATGTTCCGCAAACAAATTAGTATCAAGGGGTTTGTCCTGTGTTTCTCTGATTCTGTCTTCCACTGATTCACTTCCCCGATATCCTTCCACTGAGTCATCCGTTTCTGAAATTTTATTGTTTGTCTTCTGGATTTCTAGTTGCTGTTTTTGTGTGGTTTCTAATCGTCTATTTATTTTTTCATTTTATTCTTGTATTGTTTTCTTGAATTTTTCTAGAGTTTTTCATTTTGTCTGTCTTTTCCTTGATCTCTTGGAGGGTCTTATATATAAGTCTTTTGAATTCCTTATCAGGTAGTTCCATTACCATTTATTCCTCAGGAAGGTTTTTCTGGCCCTTTATTTTGGTCACTTGCTTGAGCTATCTTGTCCTACTTCTTTATGTGAATTGATATTGTCTGTTGTCTTTGAAGCATTAAGGTGTTAGTATATTTGTTTATTGATTGTGTGTTTGTTTCATCCTGTTTTTTTGTTGTTGTTTTGTGTTTTGGTATATCTGGGTGGGCGGCACAGGCATGCTGCTCTGATCACTAGTCTGGCAGCACTGGAGTGCTCACCATCTGTTTCCGGGTGTGTGGGGCAGTGGCTGGGAGTGTGAGCATGGGTCTCTTCGCTGGTCATGAATGGCAGCAGAGGGTAGGCTGGGCAGGCATTGGCTGCTGTCTGTTGATCCAGTGGCGCAGGAGTGGGTAGTGGTACTTGTTGAGTGGATGGGGTAGCAGATGTGGTGAGTGTAGCAGGCGAGCGGGGGATGTGGTCATCGCCATTCACCAGGTTGGGAAGGGGGGGTATGTGGCAGGCAGGTGCGTGTGCATTTGTGAGGTCACCACCGCTCTCTGGGCCAGGCTGAATGTGTGGCAAGTCGGTGAGTACAGGGGTGCATGGTCACTGCCGTTCATCTAGTTGGGGGGTGAGGAGTGAGTGGTGGGTGGATGTGGGCACAGAGGCGCACAGTCACTACTGCTTGCCAGTTCAGGGGGAGGAGGGTGGGTGGTGGGCAGGCAGTCGCTGCCACTCACTGGTTTAAGGAGGGAGTGGATGACTGGCAGGCATGCTTGCAGGGTTGCTGCCTCATGCTGGGCCAGGTGGAGTGCTTATCAGGCAGGTGAGCACGGGGGCTCGTGGCTGCCACTGTTCACCAAGTGGGGTGGTGGTGGGTGGATGCACGCGTGTGGTGGCGCAGTCGCTGCTGCTCGCCAGTTTGGGAGGGGTGTGTGTGGGTGGCGAGTGGGTAGGCAGGCATGTGCACGATCACGTGGTCACCACTGCTCACCAGGTAGGGGATAAGTTGCAGGCCGGTGAATGTGTGGGAGTGCAATTATTGCTGCTCTTCAGGTGGGTGGAGTCATGGTGGATAAGGCTGGGTCGGGGGAGAGAGGGACTCTTATGGTCTCCAGTTGGGCAGTATGGCCAGGTTATGGTACCCTCTGCTTCTTCCAATCAGGAGGGTGGGGGAAGGGGGATTTGCACCCTGTCGGTTAGCAGATGTGGGTGCCCAGGCACAACCCATCCACTGCAGCCAGCAGTTGGGACCTGCCCCCAACCAATTGCAAGGAGGGGGTGCTTGGAGCCTGGTTTGGTGGCGGACCTCCTGCCAATACTCCGCTGATTCACTGCCTCTTGCACACCACCCACCTCAAAGGTCAGGGACCACTGCTCTTGCGTAAACCTGACTCTGGATCCTGGCTCCCTCCCTGTTCTGTGGACGGCAGGATCCCTGGAATTCTTGCCCTCCTTTCTGTGTTTTCCTTCCTTAGATCCAGATCATGATCCACTCACCTTGTTTCTCTCTGGGTGTGTTTGTGCAGTTTCTCTGTCTCTTATGGGAATGCCATGAAGTTGCCTTCCTGTGCTCCTCACCTGGGGTCATTACTGGCTTTGTTTCAAGATGACCACATTGAGCTGGGACAGCAGGTAGAGCCCCTTCACTCCTTGTCACTCCTCTTTCGCTGTGTTCGTTCAATTTTTTCTTCCTGTCGGTGTTTGTTTCGATTCTTTATCCTTCTTTTGATGTTCAGGGTTCCAGGCTTTTTTACCTGCATCTTTTTCACTTGGTTTCTTGGGTCTTTGCTGTAGACAGATGGTATGGTGTGTCTGACTAAGCCACCATCTTGGCTTCTCTCAGTCTTAG